GTGGACTGTCTCCTTTCGGTGCTGGCTGCAAATGTTTTCATACGGATAATGAAATTCTAGCAACTTCGTTAAAAACAATTTATTGTGCAAAACGTTGCACGACAACTTTTAAATGTTATATATTTACACTAAACTTTATTTACAAACACCTAGAGGCTTAACACTACCTTAGGGTTAACATTACTTATTATTTATTATCATTTTAGTTTCTTTGCTCAGAGAACTTATGTATTTACAAAATAATATCTGCCATCGAGTTTTGTGTTGAGACCCGTCTGAGTTCTCTCGAAGTCCAAAACGATCGCGGTGCTATTCTTGACAACCTTCGCATTTACGTCATTTACACGTATACTCCACCTTGCTAATATTTTCTTACGAATATTTTCTTGAAATGAAATTCTTGAGACCCCTTCGCAATTACTTGCGAATGCTTTACATTCTCACTTTGGCAACATTACAATTACATTAAAATGACACTCTCAATGACAGCATGATACTAATATTTTGTACCATGGAATGGCAGTTTTCATTATCTGACTGCATTTAGCTCTTCAAAATTTCTTGAGAAATGTTTAAATCTGTTTAAAATAATCTAGTTTATTTAAAACACTGCTGATTTCCTTAGTTCATCGGTACACTGATGCTTGGGAAACTGATACACGTGAACTTCTACCAATGTCCATTTTACAGCTCCCTGGCGCAAGGAAAACCCTAAAGCTACTAAAATTTACCCAATTCTTTTAAAATTCTAAAAATTTGCACAAACTGATATTCACTTAAAATATCAAATGAAAACATCTTCACCGTTGTATAAAGGCCTCCAGTGGTAATGACCTTTGTAGTATCTTTTCACGGACACTGAAAAGAAATACTTGGACATCTCATATTTCACAGTGAAACACAGGTATTTTAATTAAAAACTATCATTAGTGACTGATTTAAAAAACTACTTACCATAATTGAATATTTGAGTTATCGAAAAGATGAAAAATTTCTTTATTTATGTCCAAAATAGTATGACAATATTGTAGAGACATTTTAAGATAATTATTTTTAAGCCATCTCTTGTCTGACTTGAGAAGTTACAATTTAGTCGGTCTAAAGACCGCTACTCACATTAAAGAAGCGACACGCTGTGAGTAGAACGTTGAATCACGGTCTCTAGCTATATTTTTGATGTATAGTACGCCATTTTCGATCCATGAATTGATCTGTTATGCCGTATTATGCAATTTTTTCGTTTTAAGTTTATTTTTATAATTTTACAATAATTGTCTGTTTCTTTACCTTATATTAGCCATGAAGAATCTTTGAACTCGCACCAAACCCTGAGATTAACTTTTTCAATAAAACTACAATTATATACAGAGTCTCAAATTTTATCTATTTTTATTTTAATTATTCAAGAGTTAACGATATACGAGGTGCAGAGGTAAGTGTCTAAATGCATAGATGAAAACTTTAAAACCTATTATCTAAAAAAATCATTTTATCTCGTTTCATCACAATTATGACGCACTGTATCAGGTGCTATTTTAGCCGTGGCATTAGGTATTTGTAATGATGATTTGTAATCTAAATAACTAAAAAAAAAAAAATTTGGTTATGTTACTCTTTATTAAAATATTCATTTCATTACAATTTATGGCTTCCCAACGTGGAGCCTTAATGAAAACAATTGTGTATTATTAAAATTAAATTGAAATAAAAAACACATCATCATTACTCATTACAGTATATATCCCTCCCGTTGCTAAATACACAGCGGTACCATGAAGCACACTTCCTTCTTGCCTAGCATACAGACTCACCACACTAGCGAGACGTATTCTCAGACGATGCCAATACCTACCTTTTCGCTACCCCAGTAGACGAGTCTACAAACAAACAACACCCTCATCTTAAACCGTTTACAACTCTCCTCGAAGCCTGAATGGCACAAACTCACGCTCCAAACACCCTACAAACCCCCTGGCAGCCGCACAGGGCGCCCCCTCTTCCGACTTCCGAAAAGAAAACTGCCCCAATCAAACATTAGACTCCTTGCCGATGCCCAAAAATTGGACCTCCCACTTCCCGCTGAACTCCAGGATCTGCTGGATTAGCACCTCTCTCAATGAGATAACCCATCCTAATCACATATATGGTTGATTCTCGGATAACTGTGATTTTTTATGTCCAGTGTTTTATTATCGTTTAGCATAAGTTTTCTTCATCAAAAAGTTATTAATATTATAAATTTAGAGGTATTTTACAACAGACATTATGAATTAGATCATAAACCTTCGTAATTTTTTTTAAGCTGCATATAAATATACTCGAAATGTCAGTACCGTGGCATCTCCGAATCTCATTTTTGAAATTAAATATATAAATTTCTATCAAAATTCATTTTCTAATATAAAATTTACCTCTTATAACTACAATCCAATGCATATTGCATTGAATTTTATTGCAATTTTATACCAATCTTGCGATTGGTAAAAAAAAAATAATCATTTTTCTACACCCGTATTATAATAATGCACTTATATGCCCATAATCCGTTTCATAATGATACCCATTATGATACAGATTTTTCATTATGATACAGATTTTTAATCAATAGAAACCTACAATTTTTCAATCAAGCATGATGTTTGACGTTTGTCCTAAATTCCTATGTAATTGTTTTAGTTGTCAAAACGTATTAAATTTTCGTAGATAGCTAAACTTCGATAATTATAATATTAAAATGTCTGATATCAGCGATATAGAACACTCCTCCACACATATAGGAGAAAGGAGAAAATGCAGTACAAAATATTTTGCCCCAAAAATCTGTGGTAATACCAGTACCCAAGGTAATACCATTAATTACAATTTTGTAGAATTTTTTATAGAAATACGAGTAATTACTGTTATTGTGTTCAATACCAATATAAATAGAATATTTATAGGTCTTGATTATTTATCGGGTGTAGAAAAAATAGCGTATGCAACTCTCATGTAATGGTTATTAAAACACTCGCATAAACCATACGAAACTCGCCTTTGGCTCGTTTCGTATCCCGGTTAATGTTCGTGTATTAATAACCATCATTACATGATCGTTGCATAATATACTATTATATGTCAGTACCGTGGAAATAATGTCAGTACCGTGGCATTAAAAATTTTAAATTTTGTCACAGTTTTCGTTGTGTCGTAGCTGTAGTAGAACCACTTTGCAGGCTTTATTCTGTGCATAAATAGAAAACAAAAACGCGTAAAACATACGTTTTAAAATATTTTTAACTTTAGAAAAATGTAAGTTGTAAAAATCACAGTTACACGAGAATCACCCATATAGCTATCATTGTATTTATTGTAACGTATCGTGATTTGGGTTTTCGTGGTTTCCCCTATTCATATTTCGCACCTTACAATTTGGAGTGGAAGTAGCATAATTGGCGATCTAATATTGGGAGCACAGAGATCTCACACGCGCCGAAATACTTAGGAAATTAGCTAGCTGGGTTACAATTTGTAATCCGGGCAAACCACCCTGAAAAGAAGGTTAACTTCTATAGTAGGGTATCAGGAAAACAATATGTCCTAGAAAATGTACACAAATCGATAATAAAGATATTAAAATAAAAAAAAAATTTGATAGTCAAAGTTGAAGTCCAGCAATAGGTGTGAGAACATCGATAAAGTAAATTAGCATAAGTAAATTGGTAAATAAATTATGAGTTAAATAATTTAGTACTTAAGTATTATAAATAAATTAATTAGTAATAGTGTAAATTTATAAACTGTTCTATACAAATACATTATTTTTAAATTACACAATCGTTACGTTGGTGTTAGAAGTGGAACTGTAAATAAATAAGAGACAAAAATGGCTAAAAAACTGTAATTTAAAAGTGGCTGAGTTGTGTTGAAAACTAACTAGAGGATCGTGATCTGGAGACGACAGGTAAGGAAACACTATTTTCTGATAATGCGTCTTATCCTCATCCTTAGAAAATAACGTTTCTTTTGATACTTTTTTTATAGAAACTAAAGTTTCTTCTGATGTTTCCTCTATAAAAAATGAAATTTCCTCCTTAAAAACTAAAGTTTCTTCTGACAGTCCAAGGACGGTGAAATAAAGTGCCGGATTCAAAGTTGAAATTGGAAGGAGTTGTAAATTGTGTCCGTGTTAAAGTCCCAACTTTCGACGGGAAGATGTCATGGACCAACTACTTTAAACAGTTCAAAACAGCTGCGAGAACAAACGAATGGTCTGAAAGAGAGAAGGCAGTAAATTTGACTATGGCCCTTCGAGGAGATGCTTTGGTTGTTCTTCATACTATACCAGAGGAAAAGACAACTTTCAACAACTTAAAAGAGACTAATTATGCAATATGGCCACGAACATTTGGAGCATTTATACCAATCATAATAATTGCAAACAGGTTGGCGCGATTTACCACCCATCAGCTCTAGAATCCATAATTGAATGCATTGTTGATGGACTTCGTGACCATAAAATGCAAAGTACACTTCGTTTATCACGTCGCAAAACGTTGGTCGTTGTCTTGTCCGCTGCTCTTGAATATGAAGCGGTTACGCTGGCTTCTGGTGGATACTGTCAACTAAGGACTGTAAAAAAAGAAGAACGGGGAAATAAATTCGACCAATTGTTTCACATGAGAACAAGAAAAAGAGAACGATCCCGTTTTAAAGAAAATGCGACAATGGAAAAAAGAAAATCGTAGATCTACTTGGCAAGAAGTATCGAAACTCCAGTAGTTGAGTCATATTGGGCCTAATAAACCGATTACTAGAGAATGATAATAGTTCCGAAAACAGAAGATAAGTTGGTAATTTCAAAGGCTAAAGTAGCCGAAGTACTTCGTGAGTTACACGACAGTCCATCAGGCGGCCATCTCGGTGTTAAAAAAACCCTTCAGAGAGTTCGTGATAGGTTTTATTGGATGAACAGTTCCGATGATGTACCACCTGTGCTATTAGTAATAGACCCCGACGAAGAAGGAAGGTCCCCATGAAACAGTATAACGTCGGTAGCCCATTTAAAAGGATTGCTTTAGATATTGCTGGCAATTCCCCATAACCGAGGTTGGTAATAAATACATTATGATAATTATGTATTTCACGAAGTGGGTGGAAGTCTACGCTATTCCAAATCAAGAGGCCGCAACTGTTGCAGAGGTGTTAATAAAAGAATGTATCAGTAGATTTAAAGTGCCCTTGGCGATCCACAGTGAGCAAGGTAGCTATTTTAAAAGTCAGCTTTTCCGAGGAATCTGTGACAGACTAGGCATTAAGAAAACCAGAACTATGGCAATGCACGCATATTCGGATAGAATGGTAGAGCGAAGGAATAAGGCAATTGGCATATACCTGTGAAGAGTGGTTTAAAACCATCAGTGAGATTGGAATCGGTATCTTTGGCTCTTTGCAATGACATATAGATCCGCTGTCAATGAATCTACAGGCCAAACACTAGCAAAGGTATTGTTCGGGCGTGAGATGAGACTACCGTCTGACCTTGAGTTTGAATGCCGACCTGGACGAGACATAGCCAATTTATTTAGGTGTCCTTTGAGTCGGCAATGCCCAGTAAGGATCCCTGTTACAATGCGAAGCCTGTTTTTGCTCAGGCAGATACAGGCTTCCGATCTTTTCTGGTTATATTTACCCAGAAGTATCATAGCCTGTCTTAATCCTAAGAGATTGTTTCAGTTATCGGTTCTTCTACTGCCCAATTATTTTTTAATCTCTCCTTATATCGTGTTACGTAGCTGATTACGTATGAGCTCAGCGCTTTGATGGCTGCTTGGCTATCGGAAATGATGAAATCTCTTGTCTACGATAGTTTATCTCGATGTTAAACTGGATACACTTCTCAATGGCGTAAATTTCCGCCTAGAAGTTGCTTGGGTATTTTCAGAGGGCCTGGTTCTAGGCCCATTCACTCCAATTCCAGTTCCTTCTATGGTTTTGGAACCATCCGTATACCATTGAATAGCATGTCTTTCGGTTGCAACGATGGATTCTTGGCTCCATTCTTTCTTGCCCAGCTGTGTGGTTTAAATATATAAATTTAAATTATCACTCACCGTCGTTTTGACACAAAAATTACATCATCTCTATTATCACACGCAATTCACTCTTAAGACTTATATAGTTTGTTTGGCTGTACCATTTTGTAGAGGTTGATGCCTACGAATTTGATAAGTTACCTTTACAGATAGTGAATTTAAGCATTTAAAAAGTCAGGATCGACAAATTTTGGCCAAATCGGTCAAATTTATGTGTAGAAATCTACCATAAATATACCAGGCGTAGGTTTAAGAAAGGTGTTTTCTAGTCTATTTGCGAAAAATGTCTCAAATAGACTTCTTTTCATAATCCATAATCTGCCCTGCCCACATATCGTGACATAACTCGTCGCGAAAATTCCAAAAATAAACTTAGACGTTAGAATTATATAGTGAAATAACGTTAAAAATAAATCATTCAATTTTTATTTAGAATTGTCATTAATTTTACAGAAAAAGCAAAGTTTATGAGAATTAGATGAGGCTGAAGCACTGGCACTTGCACTAGCATTAGCTTCTGAACCGGCAGCGACGGAGGCAGATTCGGCTTCAGCATGATGTGGTCTTCCATTATCAAATTGTAATTGGGCCGGGGGAAGACGATGGTTACTGCAAAAAAATATATATTTTATATTAGGAATACATATATTATAAAGACCACATAACAAAAAAAAACTAAAATTTCAAATAAATAATGGAAAAATGTCGATTCTTCTCCGTCGCCTAAATTTAAAATGAAATTGTTTTTAGAAGCACAAGAAACCATTCTATAATTCTATTTGGTTATTTGTGTGTTGGTTTGGTTACTCTCACATACAGTAAGTATAACTGATCGTCAATTTGTTAAATGCTATCAAATAAACACAGCATCGCAAATTAGATAAAGGTGTGTTTTTCAGAACAACTGTTTTCTCTAGACATAAAAAGTGCCGACGCAGAGTGAGCGATCTGATTCTTTAGCTATAAACTGTGTCATAGGGTTCAAAATGGCCGCGCCCTATGTTGGGCGTGTCGGACCTCTCTCTTGCCCCGTATAGTAATCAAAGTATGTGGTCCTAGTATTAAAACTACAAAAGGGACAATTCTGTCAAAATAATTGTTGGTATATTTTTTAGTTATTGAGATCAAATATGCGTAAAAATGAGTTATTCTTGCATAGAATAATAGCATTTTCTTTTATTTTGTCCACATTAACAAATAAATTTTACATTTTAATCAAACTACCCATAAAACTAATTTAATTACGAGTATTAAAACTTAATTCGTCAGTGTGGCGAGGACACGGCGTTTATCTTCCACACGAGAGATCCAGGTTCAAATCTGAGCTGAGGACGAATTCTTTTTTTATGTTTATTTTATTTTAAAAATTAGTTAAAGTGATAAATTATTTTAAAATTAGTTATTTTGTGTTAAAAACCTAAAATAATATTTTAAATTTGTCGATTTTCATTAGTGGGTCGTAGAACAAATATACTGTACAACTCGAGTGGATTATCCATATCCACAAATTGCACAAATTGCTAAACAAACAAAATAATCGAAACTTTGCAATTTTTTTTAACTATATCAAATTTTGGAAAAGTGGCTCCAGGGCAATAAATACCACAGATTTAACATACACGTACATATTATTCGCCAGAAGCTTGCTTGGCTATAGGTAATTATTTCTTAGAGCTGCGTACAGACCACGCCAACGAAGGCCAACGAACGCCATTCGCCCTTGTTCCTAAACATTCGTTTGTCGTCGTTAATATACCTACGTGCATTTGTTGTTGGATCAAACGTTCGTTGGGGCACGTATCCGAATTTAATTTTCATTATGATATGATTATCGTATGAACATCCGTCCACATTTCATTCACTCGAATCATCGTCCATTCGTTTGATAGCGCTACGATTTCGCTAGTCCAGTGCTCCGCAACCTTTCCTCATCTGAGGCACACCAAACTGCTCCCTAGAATTTCGTGGCACACCAAAATCTAAAATATATTTATAGCAGTGGCGTAGCTAGGTCGGGGGTCAGTTCACTCCATGTATACTAATTATTTATGGATGTCCAAACTACCTTAGTTTTTTTTATTGTTTTAAAATGTGAAGAAGCCCCTTTCAGATTTGGGGCATCAAAATTTTCACTCAGGACATAATACATATTTTTTTTTTATTTTTTTTTATTATTCAGATAGAATGAAAAATACAAATAGGTACATACATGAGAACTATACTAAATACTAGGTAGGACAGGTAGGTATACTAAATTTACTTCTGTTGACACGTCAATAGTAATAAATATTTTGACATGATGATGACTGATTAATGTGATACCTGCGCTTGCTTCGTTGAACACAAAAGTTTTATATTCGGCTCAATTTTAGACAGCGCAACTCTCATTTCTTGGTCAAGATCTTTTAAGCATGACCGTTTATCATTTTTAATTAATACAAGCGTTGAAAAACTTTGCTCACATAAATATGTTGTGGAAAACGGAAGTAGTGTGAAGATGGCCTTGTCGGTGATGCGTGGATATTCTGTCTTGATGGAAATCCAGAAAACATCTAACGGAACTTCGTCGAATTTAAGTTTTAGGGTCATATCATTACTTAATTCTGTGAACTCCTCTCGAGTTTGCAATGGCAGTGCTTCCGTGGAACTTATTGCATTGGTTGCGAAAGGATTTTGAATCCAATTGTATTGTTCCGTGTTGATAGAATGGAAATAGTATTCAAATTTTTGTTGAAGCATACTTAAATGTTGTTGGGTTAAATCCACAATCAACTGCTTGTTTTCGATCGTACTGTAGTTGGTCCTGTGATACATTTCTAGACATCCTTTTTGCAACTGTTCCTGCCAAAGTTCAAGTTTCTTTTTGAACCCTTGTAATTTATCGGAGCACGTCAATATATTTTCATTCCGTCCTTGCATTTTTTTATTAAGTTCATTCAGATGTTCGAATATATCCGCCATGTATGCAAGTTTGGCTATCCAGTATTCATCATGAAGGTGCTGGCATAGATCGTACATATCTTGACTTGAAAGAAACTCACGCACTTCGTAGCGAAGTTCAAACAGTCGAGCTAAAACTTTTCCCCGGGATAACCAACGAACTTCTGTATAAAACAGTAAGGATTCATGTTCGCTTCCCATTTCTTCACAGAGTATTCCAAAGATTCGCGAATTTAAGGCTCTCGATTTAATTATGTTTATGATCTTAATACATTCATTCATTGTGATCGAAAGCTGTTCGGGCAAATTTTTGACCATCAATGCTTCTCGATGTATGCAGCAATGTGTAATTTGTATTGACGGATTTTTTTGTTTTACACAAGATACAAAACCTTTCTTACTGCCCATCATTGCAGCAGCACCATCTGTACAAATAGCAACGCAATTGGTCCACTGAATATTATGTATTTTAAAAAAATTATCAGTTACTTGGAAAATTTGTTCACCGGTAGTTCTCTCTGGAACCTCCTTACAAAATAAATAATGTTCTTTAATAGAGTCCTCGTCAACGAAACGTACAATAGCCATCAGTTGTGCTTTATTTTTAATATCGGTTGATTCGTCGATTTGAAGCGCAAAAATTCCAGCCGAAATGATTTTTTTAATTAGTGTTCCCAAAATATCACTTGACATATCTTGGATACGTCTTTTAACAGTATCGGCCGACAAAGAAACTTTACTCACGTCCTTAACTTCGTTTGGCCCAAGCATAAGTCTAACAATTTCCATGCATGCTGGTTTAATAAGCGTTTCACCGATAGTGTGCGGTTTTTTTTGTTGTGCAATTAATTTTGCAACAAGGTAGCTTGCTTCTAATGCCTTTTCAGAAACCGTAACTGCCGATTTCATAAACTGCTTTTGTTTCTTATTTTGATCCAAGCGCCGTTGGAAAAATTGAATGTCTTTTTTGACGCAACTGGGATGATTTGTGATCAAATGACGGTTTAGTTTGTTGGGTACCATTGCTTCATTTGACAACTGTTCACCGCAAATGACGCATTCAGGCTTTGGAGCCGCTTCGTCGCCACACCAAGTGAAACCATATCGAAGGTAGTCTTGATTGTACTTCCTTTTCAGCACCTTTTTTGCTCTTTTTGCAGCACTTATGCTGGAGCTTGTGCTAGGTTCTTCGTCATCTGCTCGTGATTTCAGCAAAAATTTATCCATATTTGAAGCACTATAGTTATTTATAAAAGTAGATACTGCAACAAAACTTAGTCCATTTCACTTATTTATAAGGCACAAGAATTTATTTATATAGCAATTCACTATTTATTTCACTCTACGATTTATTTGTTTGCCCGCGTATTTATCTGATTCACTTGACTATTCGACTCTCTCTGAGTCTCTGAGCGACGACAGGCGCGCTTATATAGGCAGTGGCGATGTTCAGGAAAACATCGAGTCGCGCCTCGAACGGCACGGATCTTTCTAGTTTAGTCGCCTTCGAGAATCAAGCCGCCGCGCCGCGCCGATAGACGGATAGACGTTTACCATCGGCGCTGTTGTCAGATTGCTTTATTTTTCGCGGGTCTCGCTACAATACGAATCTTATTCGTATTGTCTGCAAGAGCGGCACACCTCAAGTCGGCTTACGGCACACCAGTGTGCCGCGGCACACCGGTTGCGGAGCACTGCGCTAGTCGGCAAACGTCAGCGAACCTTCGTTGGTATTCGGTAAACTGTCTATGCTTATACAGTTTTTATAGCGACTACTATATATAAAGATCCCTGTTTACTACCAGCTATTGTCAGGTCGTCAGTAAATTCTTCTTTTAAAGCCATTTATGCAGTATGTTATCTATTTCACAGTAATATTTTTTTAAATGGAACAAATAATATTTTATATTAAAAAAGTTAGTCCCTTTAAATGAAAATCTTATTTAATAATCTAATTTTTCTCGAACAGTTTTTAAGAAAATTGTACCAAATGACTTTGCAGCTCCATTTATGCAGTGTGTTATCTGTTTCTCGAAACTATGACGTCATTAATATTTTTTTAAACGGAACAAATGATATTTTATATTAAAAAAGTTAATCCCTTTAAATACAAATCATAATCCTAATTAATAGTTAAGAAAATTATACCAAAAGATTTTACAGCTCCATGAAATAAAACAAGAAAATCTTAAATACGATATGTAGTCACAAATACATACAGAGTGCAAAGTGATTCGTCAATGTTGCCATTATCTTTACTACAGGTACTCTTGAATAGGTATAGATTTCATCTTCCGTTTGGCTTTAAATGATCAAAACTGTATTTCGAATAGAATATTTGAAATCCGTGATAGAAACAAGTCGACTGGATTGTTCTTAGATTTATCAACGAATGCGGTAACTAAAATCATCGGTAAAGAAGGTAGACAATGGTATTAACGCGTGTATTATTTGAAATTTCGGCTTGTATTTTCTTCGTTATTACAACGATTTTAGAATTGGTTTTAACGAATAGTAATTGGTTTTTAATAGGCTATTTGCTTGCCTTCGTAAAAAATCATATTTTATTTTTTATAATTGTTTAAACTTTTATTTTTATTGTTTTTAAAGTTAAATTATTGATATTAGCTCTGATTTATTTAAGTAATGTCTACCAAATCTTAGGTCTTCATCCTTCATAGTTTTCAAATTCATTGAGAATTAAAATTAAATGCAATTAATCTCTCACCTTAAAGTAAAATCATTATCGGACAAATTTAAATACCTTTTAAGGTACAGTTCATTTTATGTTTTACATAGAATTAATAGCAGTTAATTTTTCTTACTTATTTTCTTCTTTATTGTTACCTCCTTCTTCTACTTTTGGATTGGTGACAAGTGGTCTTGAAGGTTGAGGTTTGGGAGGTGGCGGTGGCACAGGGAATGGTGAAGGACCATAGTTACATTCATGGGCAATATGGCGTACATTACCAAAGTGTGGTGGGTGAGGTGGTGGAGGAGGAGGTGGATATGGATAGAATCCGTAATATCGACATTCCGGACATGGTTTTGCAGAGCGTAATTGTCTTGTCAGCAATAAATGTTTGTCATCTGAAATAAAATAATTTAAATAGTTATTGAGAATTACACGTTATTCATATTGGCTGGTGTTGTTCAACTTATTTAATGTAATATGTATATGAAAAATATAGATTTTTTTTTATTATTGGCAATTTAAATTAGATTTTTCCTCCCTGTTTAAAGTTCAGAAGATTTATTTGTTTATAGATACCTGTTTATTAATATTTGTTTCGATCATAGTGTAAAGAGATATATATATATATATATATATATATATATATATATATATATATATTGAGTTGACCACTGATGTTAGAAGTGCAAGGAAATTTTTTGTTCCTATCCCTTACCTTGTAAAGTACGTTAATTGATTTTTCTGTCATGTCTACAGAAATCTCAAATTTACTTTTACAAATTTACATTTACTTTTCTTGTTCAGAAAAATATCATTTCGCTTTTACTGGGGCTGTGTACAGGTATACGCACCTCATCCTCATATTAACAATAATAGATAAAAACAGGAATGATACTTAAGGGTATAATATGCGACAGAGCTGTGTAATTCCTATTTTAAAAGTAATTAATAATTACAAACTTTTTTTTCATGTAATTTGTGATTATATCTAAGTACTTTTTTTCTTAAAGTAATTTGGAATTGTAATTGCAGCAAAATCTGTGAAGGAATTGTACTTTGTAATTATATTATTTAAATATTCTAAATACAATTACTTCTCGTAAGTACAATTACTTTTCCAACTACAATTATATTTTTTTATTACAATTACTTTAAAATGCGTTTTTACGAGATACATACGGTATAAAAACAAGAAATTTCCTGTTCGAACTGGTCACTCCAGCTCGGACTCGCATCCGTCTCATTTGTTTGAATGCATTTGATGAAAGCGTTGTGCCGTGGAAAGACCTTTAGTGAAGTAGTGAAATTGTTGAACCCAAAATAATAACAGTAAGAGGTAAGTAGATGTAGATACCCTAATTTTTAAGACGTATTTTGTATTTATATTATGATAAACATAATTTGTTACATAAACATTATAGTCTAAGGAAATATAGTATGAAGTGATGCATACAGCAGTTTTTTTTTGGGTAAATACTAAATAACTACTTATTTACTTTACATAGGCATTTTTAGTTGTTATTCTAATTTTGTACATTAAATTGAAGGATTAACTTTTTCAATACGCGCCCAGAAGGCATGCGCTATCTAACAGAAATTTTGAAAAACTTGTGAGTAGTAACAATATAAACATTTTGTGAATTATAACTAGATCTTGCAAATAAGGCGTCATTACTTTCTGTCTACTTCATGAAAAGTAAAAAATGTTAATAATTTTACACCAAATATTTTTCTTACATTCTGTGGTCCACTCTTGTTAAATCAATGTGTTTCAGGGGTGTGATATTTGAAAAATTGGTTTTAGGCTTTTATGAACTATCCGTAGCTTAAAACGATTAATTCTACGACAAAAAGCAAAAGCTATCAAATACTTTTTGACGAGGGTTGATAACCGCATCGAGTGTAAATTAAACTTTTGGTCTATTTTATCTTTTTGATTAAACAGCCCCAGAATAATGATGCCCGATTTGTGTGGTGATTATAATATAAAAGTATCTAAGCCTACACGAACTTTTGTATTTTTGTTCTGAATCAATAAACTTTTAAAAGCTCACATTTTATTATTAACTTCATTGTTCCATTTTTATACTAGTTGTTACTTGTTATAGATTTTGTCTTTTCCCTTAAGTTAAGGAGACCTTAAATGGTATAGAAAACAATACGTTTATGGCTCGTTGTATAAATATTACTTAAAGTTAAGCTCAGTTTTAGGTAATACATGTCAATTTCCGATCCTATAGGTGCAGTCAAATGTTTGGGAAAATAAGCCCTAAAATGGTGTTTACACTTCATATGCCATACAAAATGTGTCCTCTCAAGCCTTTAAGTAAGCATTATACAACCCGCCCTTAAGATATCTTTAACTTAGAATCCTTAAGAAAGTCGCTGCAAACGGTTGTTCGTATTGGTCCGGTTGGTTCATGGTTCCTCAATTCTATCATAATTTGTTGTTTTATTCGCGAAGTAATTAGAAAAGTAAATATAATTGATAATTCCTTTTTTCATGTAATTGTAATTAAATTGATATATTTCTTATTTTTACAACATGTACTTTGTACTTGTAATTAACTCCTTTTTTGAAAAAGTACTTTGTAATTGTAATTATTTTTAAAGTACATGTAATTACCCTGCTATGCGATATTTCTCCAAAGAATTTGCGATATCGACTATAAAAAATAGCCGTTAGTATATCAAGAATAATAGTCTTCGGTACTTACAGACTTTGAACCACACCATGCTCAGATAGATATAACCGCATGTCCAAACCTGTAGTTCGAAGGACGATAGGTTTAAAGAAAAGCATCACGTTGATGTACAATAAAGCTAATACAGAACAGGGACGTGTTTGAAGAAATTTCATACTTATAAATGAAGAAACTATAAATCTTAAAATGAACAATCTCAACAATTCAGAGGTCAGTGAAGTTGCCCCTACCCCAATGATATTTTTCAAAAAAAAAAAAACTATTACACTAGAATTCACTAGTGATGCATCTTATGCACCACTATTTATTTTTTTGCACCACCTTCCTTGAGTAACTACAGCTCTTTCTTTGTAGGGAAGGAGTGGCAGCGTTTATTTGCCCCCAAGTGAAAATTTTAATATTTACTGTAATGTACCAGTTAGCCCTTGTTGCACCACCAATAAACCTTTTTTCACCCTATCCCATTAGTAGTTATAGCTGTTTCTTTACCGTGAGGTTAGCCCTCCAATGAAGTGTTCGCAAAAAAAATTACTGTACTCCTGATGCACTCATATGCACGTCTAATGCACCCATATACACTCCTGATGCACTCATATGAACCACCAATAAACTTTTTGAAACAC